AATAACTGTGAAAAACCTTCTGCTACCTAAAAATTTGCAGATTAATAAAGAACTGCTCGTAACAATTGGTGCCTTCTAGTAGAAACAAATTATTAAAATATTAGATAGTTGAATGAACACTTTCTCAGCTCATATTCTTGCAACTTGAAAACACGATTGCCTACATACCTAGAATGTAAATATTATACCTTAAATATATACTGATATCTTTTGTCACCTCTGTCATCCTCCTAAAGCCTCAACAAATCTCAGTGATTATATTCGATTTGAAAGCTTTTGGACCTGGTTTTCTGTTGAATATCCTGCTCTTTACTACACATCACATACTCAAGACTACTTCCAAGCTCTTACTAATAATCTAAACACTCCAAATACCTGGACTCTTATTGCACATCTCCTTCTAAGTATCCATTACTTCAAGGAACCCAAGTCTTATGATTAAGCCTAACAGGAAAAATACACTGTTCTTACCTTAACAAATAGTTTTAACGATGACCCCTTTGACGTAGTTTAATATAAGTGAAACTGCTGACTCTCAAACAGCTGAATACCAAATTGCACAATCAAATTCATCTGATGAAGGAGAAGATTTTAGTTTAGAATTACTCTTTAATCAACTAAAACCACAACAATTACCATCTAATCAACCACCACTAGGACTCATACAACAACCTAATCAACAAAACTTTCAGAAACTTACTGATGCTCTTACCTAATTAATTGCTACTCTGCCTAATACTACTAATGCCTTGACTAACAATACTAATGCTATCAATAATCCTCTCAGAAGAGAGGCTCGAGTAATCGATTTACCCTACTTTTATGGTAGAAATCAGAACCCCATAACTTGGCTTACTAAATTCAACAAAGCCTGCAACACTAACAGGATTACTGATGACAACAAGCTCCAAATTGTACCTGCATATCTTAAAGGAGCTTCTGCTACTTGGTGGACTGAAAACCAAGCTTTGCTTAACAATAATGCTAATAGAATTACACATTGGGATGATGGTAACTCTGCTCACAACACTAACTTCATCATTAACTTTCCTACTGCCTTTCATTCTTAAACCTTAGTTGAAATTTGGACTACTGAACTTGAACGTCGCCAACAATGCCCTGGTGAATCTGTTGATGACTATGCTGCTACTCTCTTGGAATTATATAGGAGGGTAGAACATGGACCCTTCCAATTCCCTACTCATTTCAAAGCTCACAAGTTTGTGAATAGACTCTTACCTGAACTATACATTAACATTAAACTCTATAATGATGCCAATTGGAATGATGCTGTCAACTGTGCTAAAAATTATGAATTAACATATCAGAACACTAATGCTGTAACTTCTTACTTTAACAAATACATAGTACCTACTCAACCTAATAATCAAATGGATTAACTTGCCCAAAGTCTACAGGTCTTAACCTAACAGTTATAACAAATAAATACTGGACCTCGACGTAATCCTCGTATAATAATAATTACTAACAACCTCAAGCTAACCAACCTCAACCCTACTAACCTGAACCTCGACCTCAAAGGCTAAATAATTTTGTTTGCTATCAATGTGGACAACTTGAATATACTCGTAGAGCTTGCCCTCAAATTCAAAATATAAACTATCAAAATATTGTACCTCCTGTTGCCAACCCTGTAAATCCTATAAACCCTGTAAACCTGGTACCAAATAATCAGCAACCTACTCAACCTGAACAAGCTCCACAAGTTAACTAACTTTTGCAACTTCTTACCCAACTCATACCTAACAATCTGATATAGCAATTTCAACCTCAATCTATAATTCAACCTCAGGTACAAGCACTACCTAATAATCAACAACTGCAACAAGCCTAATCTCATTATTTGATGTAGCAAACCCAGGTACAACCTCAAGTTCAACCACAGCAACAAGCTTAGCAACAACAACAACAGCAACAACATTTAAACTCAGTAATTATGGCATCAAAGGGGATTATTTGACTACCTATTTCCAAGAGAATATTAGAAATGGCTCCTAGAGGTTGATGACATTCACTATTCACATTAATCATAATAGTCCTAGAGGCTTGGGTTATTTCCATATCCAAATCCTTTAATGGATTTAAGGACATTATGCTTCTAGCTGATCCAGAGTCAATGATTAGAAGGAATTTAATATGTTTAATAGTAGCATCACAGTACAAAGAGATAGACTTTTCCTCTATTGCTTTGTTTAGATTTGTATCGATTAAACTTCTACTTGGTTGTCCATTATCATGTTCCATAAACTCAAGATCACCATCATCAATAGTTGAGACAATTGGCTGTTCAGGTGCTTTTCCATTATTTTTATCATCAGAGGGGTCCTTAGTGTCCTTTTTATCAATACTTTCAGTTACAGGTACTTTTTTAGTTATAGGCTTCCTAAGCTTTTCAGTAACTGCTCGACTAAATTTAGAGTTCATTGCTAATAATTGTCTGTTAGTTATATTTGCAGGTTGATCGAAGAATTGTTGAGGGGTGTATAGAGTAATCATTTGGTTTACAGGTGGCATAGCTGCAGGTTTCTTTTTTACAACTTTTCTTTTTTGAATAAATCCATAGAGTTGGTCTTTTTCATGTTTAATATCACATATAGAGCAATCTTTAGAGTGGAGCTCATTATTATATAATATAGATTATGCTTGAAAGTTGATGAACCTTTTCTCAGCTCTTCCAATCTGGAGCCACCCATATTTTTCAATAACTAAATTAGCTCCTTTAACCAAAGCATCATCATCATCAATATGTTTAAATTCCTCTTCTGCTGGCTTCTCATCAGAAAAGGTTCGTAGCCAGATCACAGAATAATTCTCTTTAGGCTGAACCAGATAATCATCTAAATTTTTAAATCTGTTTTTAACAGAAGAAATAGTAGGTCTTTTTATACGACCTTCTTTTGCTGATCCTAGAAGCTGAAGATTAAAATATGTTTTAGGAAAACTGATATTAATAAATTTCGAATAAGGTTTCCCAACTAATTCTATAACCTTTTCTGTGAATCTCTTAAGTTCTCTATAATCTACAAATTGAGCATGAGGATAAATAATATGCCAACTACATTTCTCAGTATTTGATGAACTTGCTAAAGCAAAAGAATTTAAGAAAGAAATATATTCTGGAATAAGGCTTAATGCATCTGCACAAGCAACTAAAATTTGAGATAACAAATCTTCTTGAGTAATTTTTTCACTATCTAGAGAAGGAAGTTTAGAATTAGTAGGATCAGGCTTTTGCCTTGCATTAATATTGATTATTAAATGAAGAGGCTGGTTTCCATCGATACATTCGTGGGTATCAGGTATTTTATAAACTTCAGAGGGATGATCAATCACTGTATAACTTTTTTCTGCTATCTGAATTATATATTGAGAATAAATCTCTTTGGGACAATATGCATCTAAAAGCGAAGTATCATTTCTATCAGAAGAGCTGATATGGCCATGATCTTTAAGGATCACCTCTTTAGGTCTGGATGCAAGCAAATATTTATAATACGTATGTTTTTTATGGCCAGGTTTATAATCAAGATCTGTTAAACCCATAAAAAGCCTTTTTGCTTCATTATATTCAGCTAACTTTTGATTTAAGCACTGTTGCTGTAATGATTCATGAAGATGTTTTTTTGCTTCACTAGACAAACTCATTTTATTAATTTGTATATATGTTGTTTGTATATGCATATTGTTCGATTTGACAAAAAGTATATATTATTGAAACTATATTAATTGGTAGATAAATCTTTAAAATAAAATTAATTATCCAGAAATTTTAGCTGGATGCCAAAAAATTATATATTTGATTGAAGTAATTATTATATATAATCATGATGATATTATACCATTGCTCATATATTCATAGAACTGGAGAAATCTGTGGTCGATGTAGTAAATTAGAAAGATGTTATATTCATTGTAATTCTCCAATATCTACTCCTTGTAGATATTGTGGTGAGCCAAATAGATCTAAATATAATGCATGCAATAAACACATAGGAAAATATAAAAGTAAAGAGAATTATGACAGAAAAAAGCAGGATGAGTTATGTGCACAAATTACTAGGTTTAAGAATTATATATCTGACTTTCCCAATTCTATGCATGAAGTGTAATCATATACCTAACATACGTGTATATTGATTATTTTAAGTAATGCTATATCCTCTTTAATACTTTCTATATTTTTGGTTATCCTATTATGTAAAGCTACAGATTCTAAAATCTTTGATTTGAAAAAATATTTTTTATAGTGTATATAACCTAAAGAATTATTCATAAATTACTCAACCTACTATAACATTAGATCATGTTAGCCATCGCGACTAAAACCATTGAAAAATACAATCTCAACTCCAAGCTAAATATATCTGATCTCAGCAAATATACCTTAGAATTTCTTGAGAACCTTACTGATGATAGAAAGTAGAATCAGACTCGACAACGTCTTTGGGATGGTTTTAAATTTAGTAGTGAACAGGTAGGTGTATTGATACCTAATCAGAGAAGTGGAAAAAATAAAACTATAAATTTGGTTAAAGGTAATTGTAGAATAGCAATAACCAAGCCCCCAAAAAGTTTAGAAGAAGAGATCGTCAGAGAGAAAGCAAAACAAATCTTGCAAAATAGATATGGGTTTAGTGAAGATCAAGTAAATACCTTATTCACAATCCTGAAAAACGAAAGTAGACACAGTGTAACTACCTCAGATAAAAACATAAATATTGTAATCGCCAATTAACTCTCTAAAAAAATAGAGGAAGAAACAATTGGGGATATGGTGCAACAGATTTTACAGGATAAACTTAGCATTAGAGATGTAAGAGCTGAAGCTTATGCCTTAGCCCTATCAGCAAAAAATGCCAATGCTGGCTCATCACGTCTCACTCGTCTTCGTAGAGAATTAAGGAACCTTAATGCATCATTTGAGATAATTGAGGTTACAAAATTTCCAGATATTACAGAAGATGCCAACAAAATCCAGAGTATCAATCGAAAAAAAGCTGAAGCTAAATGTATTGTCACACTTATAATTTTCTATTTCTTTATTTTTCTTTTATTTTATTTTTAGTTTTATTATTTGATTTAGTATT